TGTTTTGTGTCTTAAGAAATAACACTTTTGTCCCTAATATGAATTATTTATAATAGCATACACATTTTTGGATCAATGCCTCGAACATTTTATGCTTCATGCATTCTTGCATATTTCACATTTTTCATTATTATTTCATTCACACTAACTAACAAGAGATGTCTCACAAAGAAGGAACAAACATTGGATATTCCACCTCAAGCGTTGGACGCACCTCATCTACAATACTCGTTCAAACAAAAAGGAAATAGAAGCTAAGAAAGCTCAACTTGAAGAGAGCATAAGTCCAAATCAATAAAATACCTTGGATTCCATCACTAGGAACCAAGACTCATGGGTTGACCAGATTATTTCAAGGTTATCTAGCCTGAATCAAATGAATACTTCTGAGGTAGGGCATCCTAATGAGGCTTTATTCCATTTTGCAGCATCCTGTTTTATTTGTTTTCTCATATTTCTTTTTGTAACTTGCTTTTGAACTTTCTTATATTTCATTTTATAAGGATATTTCAATGAATTTATGTTGAGCATTGAATCAAATTTACAACTTGAAATTCTTTGAATATCAACTGAGTTAAGAAACTTTGTAAATGATCAGTTATAGATCTTTGACAAAGTGACATGATTTAAAAGTGGAAAAATAAGGACTTTGACCTTACCCAAGAAGATACGCTGAAACACCGTACCCTTCTCTAAAAAATAACCAATATAGCCTTCTCCTCTCATAAGGGATTGAAAAAGAGGCTTGGTATTTAGATGTGTATAAGTGCGGACAACATGAGGCATCTTTTGCATATAACATTACTATACTTTTTGTTTAAGACGTTCAGTGATGATAAAGATCTTCGCATATGGAATAGTCGAGTAGGTGAATCTAGTTTAGGTTAGTCGCTTGGAAATTGAACTTTAAAGATGAGATTCATTGACTTCCAACAACACCTAGACTATAACAGGTTCTTTTTGACAAACTTAAGAAATTGGATTCGTATACTCATATTATAATATTATATGTATACAAAAACTTGAGCTATCCCTCTAGAGCAATTGGTTAAACGCCCCGGCTTTATTGATAAGATTCAACTAGCCTGATAAAGGTGATTATAATACAATAAAGCTTGAGTTGTCCCTCTAAAGCAATTGGTTAAACGCCCCGGCTTTATGGATATTCAGCTAGCCTGATAAAGGTAATTATAATATTGAGATGCCCCTCTAGAGCAATTGGTTAAATGCCCCAGCTTTATGGATCCTGCTAGCCAGACAATGACAAGTTAAATAAGGAGTTTTGGTAAAAGATGGACTAAGGGAGTTAAGGAACACATGTTATAGTCAATTTCACATCAGCACTCAGGAATTTCATTTTTAGACCGATATTTCTGCGCCGCCTTTGTTAGAGGAGCCTACGAAGCTTGAACAAACGGAAGATTTTAGAAGACCAAAATAGAAAGTAGTTGCGTCATTTTTTCCGCATCCGATTAAAATGCCAAGCCGAGAAAAAGGCATGTTGCAATAACAGAGAAAAAATGACATTTTTTTATGGCTGAAACCTTAGAAAATAGGAGGCCAACCTAAAGCCAACTCATCCATTTGAATATTTGTCAAAGAGCTATAACTCTGAAAGCATTAAAAGAGCTATTAATTCCTTTGATATACTTTGAACTCATGTTTATGATTTGGTTCAATTGAAAGCCTGAATTAAGGGGCAATATTTTACAAAATTCTTGTATTATTTTTTCCTAAAATAAGAGAAAGGATAAAAATATTTTCAAATAGGACAATCTCAAATATGAAAAGTCCTTGAAGCTGAAACCCGAGAAGAAAATGGGGCACGATCGATTCCCGGGACCAGATCGACAGACAAAGCACAAGACTCCATCTAGAAGATAAAACAAAACTGATTCATATGTCATGCATCTTAGGCATACTTAAGACCATCACATTTATCATTTTTCGCATACATAATTTTTGTAGCTTTTATAGTCAAGTTTCAACTTTAAGACGAAGGATACTCGATTCAAAAGCACATTTAAAGATCAATGGTATTGCTTAACTCAGAAGTGAGAAGCTACACCTCAACCGACTTGATATATTGAAAGATTGACAGATCTCATAATCAATTTCAAATGGGTTCGAGAACCAATTCAAATGAATCCAGTTCAGCTCAGCTCAACAATGAGTAGCAGGTTTCCAGTTAAAGTTTTCAAGTCTGATTTTAATTCCACAACGGAAGATATCCGGTTGACAGAATTTATCAATGGGCTTTCCCATAAAGGGGAATCATTCAAAGATCATCTCACCTGGTTCAGACCCGCTCAGGGGAACCACCTGAGAATTATGATCGGCTTAGACATGTGAAGGGAAGCCATTTTTTTCTATTTGCATCATAGCTCAAGGTGAGAAGGGTTATCTGTCAACAAAAGACATTTGAGTTAGATTACACTCAGCTCAAAGGCATATCCAATTCACAACATAGCTCAAGGCAAGAAGGGCTATCTGTCGACAAAGACCTTCTAGTTCGATTACACTCAGCTCAAAGGCATATCAATTTACAACATAACTCAAGGCGAGAAGGGTTATCTGTCAACCAATAACTTCGAGTCTGATTACACTTATCTCAAAGGCACATCAAATTTACAATATATCAAGGCAAGAAGGGTTATCTGTCAACAAAAGACCTTCGAGTTCGATTACACTTAGCTCAAAGGCATATCAATTTATAACATAACTCAAGGCCAGAAGGGTTATCTGTCAACCAAGACCTTCGAGTTCGATTACACTCAGCTCAAAGGCACATCAAATTTACAGCTTAGCTCAAGGTGAGAATGGTTATCTGTCAACAAAAGACCTTCGAGTTCAATTACACTCAGCTCAAAGGAATATCAATTTACAACATAACAATTTACAACCTAACTCAAGGCGAGAAGGGTTATCTGTCAACCAAGACCTTCGAGTTCGATTACACTCAGCTCAAAGGCACATCAAGTTTACAACATAGCTCAAGGCGAGAAGGGTTATCTGTCAACAAAAGACCTTCGAGTTCGATTACACTCAACTCAAAGGCATATCAAATTTACAGTATAACTCAAGGCGAGAAGGGTTATCTGTCAACAAAAGACCTTCGAGTTTGATTACACTCAGCTCAAAGGCACATCAAATTTACAGTATAGCTTAAGGCGAGAAGAGATATCTGTCAACAAAAGACCTTCGAGTTCGATTACACTCAGCTCAAAGGCACATAAAGTTTACAACATAGCTTAAGGCGAGAAGGTCTATCTTTCAACAAAAAGACCTTCGAGTTCGATTACATTCAGCTCAAAGGCATATCCAACTTACAGCATAACACAAGGGGAGAAGGGTTATCTATCAACAAACACCTTCGAGTTTGATTCCATTTAACTCAATGGCATATCAACCGTATGGTAGAACCGAGGAACTACTTTCTAGTTGAAGCCGAGGTCTTCAAGTCAAGAATAAGAACTGGGACAATCTCTCAGCTCAGTGCAACATAGCTTAAGTCGAGAAAAACTATCTGTCAACGAAGATTTCTAAGATCGATTTCGAGAGACTATCAACCACATGGTGGAGTCAAGGAACTATTTTCTAGTCGAAATTTTAAACCAAGGTCTTTAAACCGAGAAGAAGATCGAAGTTGACTACAATTTGGCAAAGAGAAGCCACATTTCGATTCAAATTTCGAACTATGGCTTCAATTATGACATCATTTCAAGACTGACTCGACTTCGCGACGAATGAGTCATCTGCAACTCAATTCGACAGGGAGTTATTCTTAATTGAAGTATCACAGTCAAATTTTTAACTCCACTAAACGAAAAATTGTGTTCTTTTATCTTTGTCTTATTTTTCGTTCCACGAAAAAGGACAAAGAGGGACAGCTGTGGACACTAATTTTTGTACATCACACATATATTATATATATATATTAGGTTTATTTTATTTAATTAATACATTTTATTTATTTACATGACCACATTATTTCATTACGTTCTCTTCCTCTTCACGTTTATTTCTTTGTGCTTTACAGTTGGCGTCCAGATTCGTTACAGTTAATGGAATCTATGAATGGAATTATTTGGCTCTGTGTTTCACGGCTGATCGGTGCACTCCACTAAGTGTTTTGATATCCCTGCAACAAAACAACTCTATAAATCCGGCCATAACCAAATCAAACTCTCAACAAACCAGTAATTTCAGTCCAAATATGACTTTAAACCGAACCTAAAAATAGGTTTTTTGGAGCACTATAAATTAATGAGGAAATCATACGAATGGGGGGCATATTTCAAAGAGAAAACAGAAAAAACCAGGGAGACCATTCGAAAAAATAATAACTCATCTTTTTTTTTCTCTTGCAAAACCGGGGTTGGAGCCTGTTCATCGGAGCCAATAATCTACTTCGGGTCACCAAAGGTAAGTAATTCGAATCGAATGTTTTAAATTTCAATTTAAATGTTTAATTTTCGCAATTAAAGACAACCGAAAAAATTAATTGGTACCGAAAGGGCGATTCAAGGGTGCTAATCCTTCCTTGACCATAACCGACTCTCGAACCCGACATATTTCTGGTAAAACGCAGATAATGTAAGATGGTGTCCGATCTACCTAAATATCATTTTAAAATGATCGGTGACGACTCTAACCCAATTATTCAAGTCGAATTCCAATTCCGACCCAACCGAAATACAACCGCTAGAGAGATGATATACAAACTCATTCTCTAGACAATCAAAAGATGTCTAAACAAAACACTATACTCCATTACTTCAAATACAAATTAACAAAGTTAAAACCTGAAAGAAGAGTAAGCATTTCGAACATTAATGAACAATTTGTATACTTTACCTTAAAAAATCATATCAACTTTTGTAACCATCAATCTTTTTTGAAATGAATCAAAATTATTAAAATACACCTCACCACACCGAATCAAAACCTAAAACCCTACAACCTTCCCTTTGTTTTCCATCGTTCTCCTTCTTAAACCCAAAACCGAACTCCTTCCTTACTCAACCATGGCAATGCTCTCACTAGCAATCAGAGCTCGAGCTAAACCCAACCCTCTCCTGACATGGAGAGCCTTACATTTCCGCAACTTCTGCAGCGGCTGTTTAGGTCTATCTGTCCCGCCTGTGGCAGGGACCAAGTTTCTTGAGTCGTTTAGAGAAGAGTTCGAGATTGGGTCTCGGGTAATTTCACTGGAAACGGGTGAAATGGCTCGTTTTGCTAACGGTGCTGTTGTTTTGGGCGTGGAAGGGACCCAAGTTTTGTCCACGGTTTCAGCCGGTAAAGGCGACGTCATTCGAGACTTTTTACCGCTCACTGTACGTAATATGATCAATTTTGTATTCTTATTCCCCCCCAGTGTGGGTAATTTCAATATTGACGTTCGAGTTTTCATTTTGGTTGAAATGTAATCTTGACTCATTGTTATTTAAACGTGTTTAGTTCCATGTCCATGTTCTAAGCTCGCTTAGCTGGTTAAGTTCTGTTTGGATTGTCCTTTTGCTTCTTCTTTTTTCTGTGTGCTTTTTGATTATAGGAAAAAGTATCAACGTTTGTACTTTTTGAAGAGTATTTTTAGTTAGGGGAGAAAGAGCAAGTTATTGCATTGTAAAGGGTGATGAAATCTGCTTTTGTGAAATTGTGTTTGGTTTTTATTTTTAATCTTATGTTTTATCTAAAGCTGTTATAGAAAGTAAACATTAGAAAAAAAAATTATAATTTCGTTTTTAGAAAATTCATTTCTTAATTCGTACAACCTTTTGTTTTCTAATTTTGCATCTCAGTCGTGTTTTTGCTATTTTGATATTGGAAGCAAGGACACAACAAAACTAATGAAAAACGAAGTATTAACTATTGAATTATGATTCGCAATTATATTTTCATCTTGTGTGTTTGTCAGGGTTGGCTACTTTGTGGTCTCATTGAATTTTTTTTTCCTTGTAAGGTTGATTATCAAGAGAAGCAATTTGCTCAGGGTGTGATCCCAAATACATTCATGCGGAGGGAAGGTGCTCCAAAAGAACGAGAACTTCTGTGTGGTCGTCTAATTGATAGGCCCATACGACCTCTTTTTCCGGCTGGGTTTTACCATGAGATCCAGGTTTTGTTCCTTTTCAGATTCAACCATGTGCGCATATATATCTATTTCAATTTTTCAATCGATTGACATTGTCGGTTTTGATAGGTAATGGCAAGCGTTCTTTGTTCTGATGGAAAACAAGATCCAGATGTGTTGGCAGCTAATGCGACATCTGCTGCTCTTATGTTATCAGATATTCCATGGGGTGGACCCATTGGAGTGGTACGGCTAGGGAGAATTTGTGGGCAGTTTGTTGTTAATCCAACTATGGATGAGGTATAAACATAAACTTTTGTTTTGTTATGAATGCTGATTTTGGACTCTGTTATTATCACAGGCAGTCTTGGCTTAGTGTAGAATTTGATTTTATTTGTAATTGCCAACTTACCTTCTATTTTTTAATATAAGGCGACGAGTTAGCCATTAGATGCTAATCATACATAAAGGTATATCCCTTGCAAGGTTATTGCTTATGTATGACCTATTTAATTGTCTAACTTTTTTATTCATTGTGTTTACCATCCTCCTACTCCCTTCAAGATAAATCATCAGATTGGAAACTAGATAATAGCTAAAAACACGTATCAGAATGCTGGCTAGTTAGAAAGGGTATTGTTGGGGGAAAATAAAGGTAGGTTGATCTCGGTGGGATGCGGTATAGTTTGTTTATTCATTCAAGTTTTACTCATACTGCTTCTTTTCTTAGCTTCTGGAGGATTGATACACTATTAATTTAGTTGGTGTATGGTGGGATGGTGGTTTCAATGAAGCTCTTATGGGCAGTAAGAATACGTGGAATGGCTCAAGATTACTCTGAATACTTGTATTGTTATTTTCCTTTTATTTTTCCTTGTTATGCTCTGGTCTCCGGTCTCACCCTGATGGGCCTTTGCTACTATGTTAATGTGTTGTGTGAATTGCATACACGGTTAATTATTATTTTGAGGGAAAATCTGCTATTAGCTTGTCTAATCCATATATTGAAGTTGCTTTTAAGCTTTGTAAACCTCTAAAATTCTGCAGATTGTGACACCTGATCTGTCAGTTTTCCGTGTTTTTTCATCTATGCTTATTTGACTTGTTTCAGCTTAGTTTAAGTGATCTCAACTTGGTATATGCATGTATGAGGGACAAAACATTGATGATAGATGTGCAAGCTCGTGAAATCACCGAGAAGGATTTGGAAGCTGGTTTAAGACTGGCTCATCCAGAAGTGAGTTGCAGGCTTGCTGTAAACTTTATTGTCTCTATCAATTAATGGAAAATCTCATTAACATGGCTTGTCGATTCAGGCGGTTAAATATCTTGAACCTCAAATCAGACTGGCTGCAAAAGCTGGCAAACAAAAGAAGGAATACAAACTATCCGTGGTCTCAGAACAAATCTTTGAAAAAGTCAGAAACCTGGCAGAAGCACCCATTGATGCCATTTTTACCGATCCTTCCTATGGCAAGGTGAATAATTATTTCCTTTATTTTCTTCTTTCGCTCTAGATATGAAAATGTGCATTATATCCTTAGAGTTACTTTTTTTATGTATTCTTGGGTTTCATGCTGTGGTAATTTTTAATAATATAGTTCGAGCGTGGAGAGGCTTTAGAGAGAATAACACAAGATGTCAAAAGCGCACTTGAAGAAAAATGTGATGAGCAGAGCTTAAGAACTTTGCCAAAGGTTGTGGACAATGTCAGGAAAAAGGTGAGCTCTGGATAAATCTGTAATATTAGTTTCTTTTTCTTTTTTTACTTAACAAAAGATTTGATTGCACAAGTAATATAACTATAGATTTTCAGTGATCGTGAGAAATGTACGAGTTTCTGACAAGAAATAGGTGGTAAATTACTGTTTCTTCCTCAAAACTTAAATCAGGGGGTTAAAAATTGGATTATTTTGTCACTTCACCCTTATATTTATGCCTACCTTGTTCTTTAACATCTTGAAGTTGACATATTTCATGTTAAATAAATATATCAGGTTGTTCGCAAAAGAATTATTTCTGAAGGATGTAGAATTGATGGGAGACATCTTAATGAAGTTAGGCCAATATACTGTAAGGCTGGCCGTTTGCCTCTATTGCATGGATCTGCTCTTTTCAATCGTGGAGATACTCAGGTTAAAACACAGTTTTTCTTGTTTCTACTTCTAGATTCTAGGTTCGTTTATGTTTGACCCATCTTTGAAGTGGGGCTTATAATTGATGTTTTGTTTCAGGTTCTTTGTACCGTGACACTTGGATCACCTCAGGATGCCCAACGCTTGGATTCCTTGGTTGGTCCCCCAACAAAGCGTTTCATGCTTCACTATAGTTTTCCACCATTTTGTATCGATGAAGTTGGTAAACGAACTGGCCTGAACAGACGTGAAGTCGGGCATGGTAAATCAATTTCCTTAATCATCATAAAATATGTGTGTATATGAAAACTTCTTATATGAGGTTTGCGCTCATCTTTTTTGTTACATTTAGGAACTCTTGCGGAAAAAGCACTTGTTGCTGTATTACCTCCTGAAGATGATTTTCCATACACAGTTCGTATTAATTCTGAAGTCATGGGTTCAGATGGTTCAACATCTATGGCCTCTGTCTGTGCAGGTATCTGTTTCACTCTAATAAATCAATCTCAGAATATGCACGGTTGGAAATTCTGTATGTGGATGGATCAATAATATTTACTCTCTGTCCACTAAAGTTGTCACTTATTTTTGGTGGTAAAAAATTTTCAACTTTGACTTATTATTTAAAATTTGTTTATTAATAAAAATTAGAGGAAATATATTTTATACACTTTCAATGAAGTTGCTTTTAAATAAATATTTTATACATTTAATTATTTAAAATAATTATAGTCAAAGTTTAAAAAAATTGACCACTAGAAGTCAACAGCTGACAACTTTAGTGGAACGAGTATTTCCTCTAAAATATAAACTAATGTTTTAGACTGATGGCATTTTTTAATACAGGCAGTATGGCTTTGATGGATGCTGGGATTCCATTACAAGAACATGTTGCAGGCGTTTCAGTGGGCCTTGTTACCGATGTTAACCCAGAAACTGGTGAAATTACAGACTATCGTATATTGACGGATATTTTGGTGAGAGATGTTTTACGTTACCTATTTAACATATTGCTTAGCTATAAAGCTTTTGGTTGCTATTATTTTATTTAATAATACACCTTCTGGAGGAAGAAGTTCTCTGGTTCTTATTCAGTCGAGGGAAACAATGTAAGGAAGGATGTTAGTCACATGGTGGCTCCCATTGCTGGTTCTGTTGACGACAGTAAATTCTCAACTCTCAAAGACAGTTTGTTAGGATGGTGCAGAATTTTTATTAAGTGGCTAGAGTCGTCTTCTTTTGAAGAGGCAGTCGTATCCCCGTTATCCAAGGTGAGGGAGCTCGTTGGTGCCTTTCCAGTTAAGTTTCCTGAGCTGGAAGAGGGTTCTGAAGAAGCTGGAAGTTCCATTCACTCTTCGGAGGTGCAGTCGGCCGTGAGGTGTTCTGAGAATGAAGAAAATTTTTTCTGCTGTTTGGGGACTAGTGCTAGAGGCAGCATCCTGTCGGGTGAGGGTGTGGAGGACAGGAACATAGGAGAGGCTTTGATGATGGGTCTGAGGAGCGACGTTGGGGGTCAGAGGATGGTTCTTTCCCAAATGGAGGGAGTGGGGGAACACAAGACATTGCTGGTGCATGCGGAGAGAGAAGCAGTGGATGTCTTTAAGGACACTTGTTTGCCTGCACGTGGTTTTGTGGAGAGTAAGGATTTTTTAATTAATTCTCCCATACAGGATGGTCTCTTAGTGTCAAAGGAATTGGAAGATGTGAGCCTAAAGGATAAAGTGGATCTGTTGGTTCACGTGGAGAGGAATAATGAAGTTGCCTTTAGGAAAAATTGTGAGTCTGCATGTGCTTTTGTAGGCTGTAGGCTCAAAGGATTATTTTAATGATTTCCCCATGTTGGATGGTCGGGTTGAGATAAGGGAGGTGGAGGAAGGGATTCACGAGGGCTGTTCTTACAACTACGCTTTCGTAAATCCAAAGGGTATCGCAAGGCAATACATGAGACCTAAGGTGGGTTCTGGCAACAAATTTAGATCTAAACAATTTTTTCAGGGGAATTTTACAGCTCCTAAAAGAAAGTATAGGGGTTCCCGAAGCAAGAGCCATCAGAGTAAGGTGCATTGGGAGGAAGAGGTGTCTGTTTTTGATGGCAGATTCACTTATGAATCTGATTTTCCAGCATTGGGGCAGTCTCAACAGAAGGATACGTTCAATTCCTTGCCTTTTGGGAAAGATTTGGGTTGTGAGTCTAATGGCGCAGTAGTGTATCTATTGTCGGAAGACGATGGCGGGGGAAGGAGTAGAAGGTTCAGGTGATCTACACCATGCTTTTTGTCTGAAGCTGGAAGTTCGGATGGTCTTTAGCCAACAAGACGTGGTGATGTGGTGGAAAGGCGGCCATATGCGTGTTTTTTTTGTTTTCTTTTCATGTGAAAGCTCCATGGCCTTTGAGTTAGAAGTTGGCTTTTATGGTTTTAGTCAGCTGTCACCCTTGGCTTTTTTCTGGTTGTTTTGTTTGATTGAGTGTCTATCGGGCCTCGTTTAGGTTTTTTTGTTTGGCCAGTCTTTTTTAGGCTGTTGTTGTTGCTTTTGTTGGATTAGGCTGGTTCTGGTAGGATTGTTGGTGGTTGTTTTTGGTGTTTTGTTCATATTGGGGGTGGCTCCCTGGTTGTATCGTGTTCTTTCTATGGTTAATAAAATCTTAAGGCACTCTTTTCCTCCTTCCGCTGATTAAGGAGCTTCTCTATAAGCTCCTTTAATCATGAAGGAGGTTTTTAACGAGGCCTGCAATTCCTATAAAAAAAAAGAAACCAACCCTAGCCATTATTCTACCTTTGATTATGTATCTGATACATGTTGCCGCTTTGAAGCATAGACGAAAATATTAGCTATGTTGTTCCAAGGTCTTGTTTACAAAGTTTTGACCTCATTAATGCTAAGTTGGTTGGTAGAGTTTATTAAAACAGTGATCTCTCTAGGGTCTTGAAGATCATCTGGGAGACATAGACTTCAAGATTGCCGGGACAAGGAATGGAGTTACTGCAATTCAATTGGACATAAAACCTGCTGGGATCCCTTTAGATATAATATGCGAGTGTTTGGAGCCTGCACGTAAAGGACGCCTTCAAATCCTTGATCACATGGAGAAAGAGATTAGCGTGCCACGAAGTCGAGATGATAGAAATTCTCCTCGACTAGGTTTAAATCCTTGACTTATTTGTGAGATTTCGGTTTTGTACTTAAGAAGCTGAGATTCTATTCAACAGTTGATTTTATACTTCAACTCAAAATATATGCTTTGTGTTGCAGTTACACTGAAGTTTAGCAATGATGCTATTCGGAAGTTTATTGGGCCTCTAGGTGCTCTGAAAAGAAAAATCGAAGAGGAAACAGGTGGGTGTTGGATTTGGAAACATTTTACATTTGATTGGGGATGTAATTTGATTGATTTATTATTATTATTTACATTACGATGTTACTGGAATAATGGTATGAACAATTTTCTTAAACTATGCTTTTCTTTAAGACAGTGAGGATATAAGTTTTCACCCTTCATATTGGACATGGAAGATGATTGATGTCATTGTGCTGCAGATTAAGTAGTTCTTTTCAATCATGGATGATTGGCAAACGTGTTTTGTGCATATTTTTCCGATTAATGTTTTATTGCAGCAAATTATAGTTGCATTCCATTCGCTCAATAACCATGTTGTTGCTTCTCAAAATTCAGGTGCTCGGATCTCCGTAGGTGATGGAACAATTACTATAGCTGCTAAGAATCAGGCTATAATGGAGAAAGTGCTAGATAAGGTATTCATATTAATTAACACCTGTTATTCCTCTAGTTCATCATACTATATTACCTGTAATCACTTTGGCTAACTGAAAAGTACACTGATTTCTTTGGAATCAGGGTCGTTTTCAATTTTAAATGCTTGAAACCTTTGCTATGCAGCTTGAATAATTCCTGTCTCTATGTCACTACTAAAACAAACATCACATATAGAATTGAAATTTCATTACATGCATATTTTATCATAATTAAGTGCCTCGGGTAATCCTTTGTACCCTACAGGTTGATTTTATAGTTGGCCGTGAAATTGAAGTTGGAGGAATCTATAAAGGCATTGTGACATCAATCAAAGAATACGGTGCCTTTGTAGAGTTTAATGGTGGACAGCAAGGTCTGCTACACATTTCTGAGTTGTCACATGAACCGGTAAGTAACACGAGCAGTGGTAGGTTAGTGTAGTCATGTAGACTCCATCTGATTCCTATGTCCTAGCTGCATTTTTTGGGCCATGTGAATTGGTTTATGAAGTTCGGAATAATTCGATAACTAGAGTATATCTTGTATAGGATTTGCAGAACTCAGAATATATATTTATCTTTCATCAGGTGTCTCGGGTTTCAGATGTGGTGTCTGTTGGCCAGCAAATCTCTTTGATGTGCATAGGGCAGGATGTTCGTGGTAATATAAAATTATCTCGTAAAGCAAATTTGCCTCGGCCTGAATCTGAGGAAAAAGGTGTAACTGAAGGATCTGCTCCTGTTACTAAAGAAAAAGCTAATATTTGGGCATCACTTGAGAATGTGTCAAAAGTAGAACACCTGAAGTCTACTCTTGAGGAGTTGCCCCCGAACAAAATGGAGAAAACTGAAACAAACCGGTCTGCCTCTTTACAACCAGCAGTAGTGATTCGGAGTGCTGCGGAGTGTGACGAGGAAGAGAAATCTGCTGGTTTGAGTAAGACTTCCAAAAGTGCTCCTAAACCAAAGGGCACGGTGAAAAGGGGTAGTAAACTGAAAACAGTCCAGTCTTCCAGCGACAAGCCTGGTTCTTCGACCCTCAGCAGTATGCTATCGGAATCCTTATCTCGAATGGAAGCGAAGAAAGAATTTGATTCTGAAGATGATGGTGAGGCTAATTTGAATGATCAGAACAAGGAAAGTGATGTTAAGTCTCCCGTGACACCTCAAAAGCTGAAGTTGGGAACTAAAGTTACTGCCAAGATTTATCAAATTCGTGCACGTGGTTTAGTTCTCGATTTGGGTGGTGGGATTCGTGGCATGTATAGGTTTGAGGTATGTATCCGTCTTCTTTTTCCTTTTCTTGTTGAACACATTTGTTGCTGCAGTGAGGATCTTCGCTTCAGCCTTTGAAGTAACTTATTTCTATTTCCTCGCAGCCCAATGGTGAAAGGGAGTTTACCATAGGTGATGAATTACAAGTCCAATGTTCAAGTTTTACGAGTAAAGGTATCCCGGTCATGACTTTGGTGGATGAAGAATGATAGCACATTTACAGTCTTTCCTCGGAATATAACGCTCTTGTAGATGGAGAAATGTGATTGGTGGATATTCTTGTTTTGGAGACTGAAACGGTATTGAATTTTCGACAAAGTTCTGGTGATCGAGAAGATTCACCTATGAGTCTGATTTGAGGAAGCTTTCTCGGTAGGAAACCAGCAGCAAGGTAGCAATTATCACTGAGACTTAAACTTCTCAATTTTTGTCATCCTTTTGCATGTGCCATGCATGATACATGTTTAGCACTCTTTAATCTCAGGGATTTTGATAGTTTGAATAATAGTATCTGAGAATTTGAAGATACAGTGAAGAATATGTAAGCTCCTAACCAGATTAAGTTCATTAATTAAGAGATTGAATGCTTCATCGACGAATCGAACAGAGCGGTGATTGTAACTTGTAACATAGCGGAGAATTGAATCCTTCATTAATTAGTAAGGTATTGTCATTGTGCCGTTTTGATTTTCGTTCTGATCCATATATAGACCTATATCTGTTTGTATTTGTTTCAATTTCTGGTTCTGTAACTATATCCAAATACACAGGTATTTGCCACGTATTTTTAATTGTTGAGTAGGAATATAATTTGGGATATGAATCATTTTCTCTTTGTAAAATTCGTTAATTTTTCATGAAAAAACTAACGCTTGAATGAATCTAAATGGATTACTAAGATTAAAATTGTGTGAAATTATTAAGTTGTACCATACAAATGAATTTTATCTGATTTTATTGATACAAATGAATTTTACCTGATTTGATTTGAAATGATAAAATTGAAGGCAACACATATTTAAGAAAATATATAGAATTTGAAATATTTTAGTTCAATTTTAATAAATCTATGCAACATAATTTACTTTTCTATTTTAGTATTTGAATTGGAATAATATAATTATATAGGCTTAATTCCTAAATAAATGCCTTTTTTGTCAAATAAGTACTTATATTTTTTTGGCCCATCTTGGTGTCTAACGTTACAAATGTTAGCACTTTAGGTGCCTGGACCGTCAACGTCGTTAGTTTTTCCGGTAAATGACACGTGTCATAATTTGGTAATTTTAAAATTTTTATATAAATTTAAAAAAAAATTATGTATTTTTTAAAAAATAAAACACATAAAATTTGAAATAACCCCTAAACTTTGAAAACCTTCATTTCAACCCCTAAACTCACGCAGACCGTCGCCCTTTGCCATCGAAGAAGCTCCACCCGACATCCCCTCCCCTCGGTGACCAAAATCCCTATGAAATCGTGACCAATTGACGATAAATCAAAGTTTTAAATCCCATGAACCCTAGGATGAAAATCGTGATCTCACACGATTTCGATTGTTAATCGGCCATAACTACGACAACATATAACTAGGATGATGGCAGTGACTACGTCAAAGACATTGGTCGTGGCCGAGACGGCGGATTAAGGATAGGATTTGGGATTTGGGATTTTGGAGTTGTTTTATGATATAAGAAAAGTTAGAGTTTCTTTTATAAATATAATAATATTTTTTATAAAAAAATAATTTCAAAATTACCAGGTTGTGACATGTGTCACTTAACGAGGTGAACTAATGGTGTTGACTGCCCGATACCTAAAGTGCTAATGTTTGTAACGTTAGGCACCCAGATGAGCAAAAAAAAATGTAGACACTTATTTGACACAAAAGACATAGTTTGAGCACTTATTTGGGCATTAAGCCAATTATATAATATTCTTCATTTATATAAATTTTTGTAATCACAGTTTATATTTATTTTTTAGGAAGCCGATAATGATTACCATATTTCTTCAATTTTTAGTTAGTGTAATGAAAGGTATTCTTTTAATCGTTAATATTCAATTTTTTTTATTGCACGAAATGAACAACCTTAGTGATAAAAAAAATTGTTGTTATCCCTTGAAGTACCAGGTTTGAGCACAAAAAATGCTAGGTGTATGAGCTTTCAATGTCAAATGGTTAAGATGATTAAGAGTATCTCAAAAATTATTTTTAACTAATTTAGAGTGAGCTGAATACTGTAGGAATAATTATAATCTAATTTGTTTCACTTAGAAAGTAATGATTTATTTTAAGTATACATATGATGCAAGTAATAAAATAGGCTTATTATATGGGTGAAACACACATGTAATAATCATATTTACGAACTCATTAAGTGGCCTTAGTAATAAGAGGAAGTATTTTTTTTAGAGATCTCGAGTTCGAATAGTTTCGTCTGTACAATTTATGTACCTTGTTATTGGGAATGCAGTAAACAAATGAACACAACTTTGTATATTGAATCTTGGAACTCATTGATGAAAACAAGATTGTTGCTGCTTATATACAGCTTCTAACAACTAATGTAACAACCTTAACTAAACAACTAACCAAACTAACAACCTTAGCTGCTATAACAACTTCAGGAAGCTTCTAACTATACTGCTAATGATCCCATGTAGTATTAACAGCTGACTCATCATGCTAACATTCCCTCTTCTTCTTCTTCTTCTCCTCTTCTGACCTTAAACACACTTTCACCCCAATCTTCCCTCGAAATACTTCAAATGCTGCCTTAGTCAATGGTTTAGTAAAACCATCAACCACTTGATGAGCTGCAGGAACATAGTTTACACATAGTTGTTGAGTAGCCACATTCTCACGGATAAAGTGCACATCACAGTCAACATGTTTTGATTGTTCATGATAAATTGGGTTGACACTCATTACCACCACTCCTGTATTATCACACCAGATCACTGATTTCTCATGTTGCTTCAACCCAAGCTCAGTTAGCAAGGTACTTACCCATGTAACTTCAGCAGTGTCATCAGCTAGGCTTTTGTACTCAGCCTCCATCGTTGAACGTGAGTCAGATTTTTGTTTCTTTGAGCTCCAAGCAACCAAGTGGTTGTCAAGAAACACTCCATATCCTGAGATTGACCTAAGATCAGTGATACTTGCACCCCAATCAGCATCAGCAAATGCTGAGACTGTAAATTCGACTTAGATGGGAGATACATCAAGCCATACTCCACAGTTCCTGCAAGATTATCTCAGAATGTGTTTTACTGCCACTAGATGACTTTCCCGAGGTGCATGCATAAACTGAGTAACATTTCAAACACTGAAAACAAGCTTAGGGCTGGTATGGCAAACATATAATAATGATCCAACAATGGGTCGATACACAGTTGCATCACTCAATAATTCACCATCCTCAGTTAACTTAGGTGCAAGAATCATAGGTGTTGCACACGATGAAGCATTCTCCATGCCAACCTTTTTTAGAAGCTCCAAGATAAACTTCTTTTGACTGAGCATCAGAGAGCCATTGTTGCGTTTTACTTCAATGCCCATGAAATAACTAAGAGGTCCCAAATTTTTAAGAGAACGTGTTCTGCAGCATGCATACAATATTAGCAATCATAGTGCTTGGAATGCCAATTACGTGGAGCTTGCTTCAAGCCATAAAGTGCTTTCTGCAATTGACATACAAGGGGCACACAATCAGCTGTTGTCTGCTCGAATCATGGTGGTTGTTTCATAAACACTGCTTCTCTTAAATCTCCATTAAGAAAGGCATTGTTGATTTCAACATGCCTTAATTCCCAGTTATTGGCCACTACAATAGACAAGACTACATTTAGAGTTGTAAATTTTACAATAGGGCTGAATGTGTCAAGATAGTCTTACCCAGACACTTGAAAAAATCCTTTTGCAACTAGTCGTGCCTTGTATCTGTGAACCGAGCCATTTGGATTGCATTTCACTTTGAACAACCATTTACAGCCTACTGCAACTCGTTCAGGAGGGAGCTTAACAAGAGTCCAGGTTCTATTCCTCTTAAGAGCATTAAATTCTTCTTGAACTGCAATAACCCACTTTGGAGACTGAAATGCTTTAGTAACAGTCGAGGGAACTTCCTCATCAAAGTAACTTGAGTAGACTTTAGGTTTAAAAATACCACACTTGCCTCTCGTGAGCATAGGATGGTTGTTCATACGTGGTACACTAATAATAGGAGAGATTTCAATACTAGGTTAAGCATCATCACTGTTTGGTGCAATTAGATTGGAAGCATTTGCACATCTTCTTCTTCTTCTCCAAGGTCACCCTCGAGGCTAGGTTCAACAGTTTCTTCAGTAGGCATAACCACACTCGATGATTCTTCTGCAGCTTCTTCCATACTTGCATCCTCTATGTTATGAGGTACAGATGATCCTGACTCAGTACTACCTTGAGTTACAACCTGTACCAGTTGTTGAGCAGGTACGCGTTGCATGTTAGTCATAATCTCTAAAGATTGTAACTGTCGATTTGTAACTTCCTGGGAGTTACATGAAGGTGACCTATCTGCAAAAGGAAACACAATTTCATTAAACACGACATGCCTAGAAATGTAGACCCTTCCATCAGCTGTCAGGCATTGAAACCCTCTATGTTGGGGGCTGACACCAAGATATTAACATAATTGCGAGCAAAATGCAAGCTTATGAGCTTGAAAAGGTTGCAGGTGAGGGAAGCATTGACAACCAAACACCTTCAGGTAGTTATAGTTTGGTTTATTCCCGAGCAACTTCTCCTAGGGGAAACTCCTTGCAAAACCTTAGTAGGTAATTTGTTAATCAATTGAACAACAACAATAACAACATATGACCAATACTCCATTGGTAACAATGCCTGTGCCAGCAATACCACTTCCATTTCAACCAGATGTTTGTGCTTCCTTTTGACAATGGTATTCTGCTCGAATGTGTAAGGGCATGATAGCCTATGAACAATTCCAACTTTGGCTAGTAGTGGTGAGAGACTGCGAAACTCACCACCCCAGTCACTTTGCACTGCTTTAATGGAAATACCGAATTGAGTTGCCACCATTTTTTGAAACAGCAAGAAAGCTTCAGTGGCTTGAGACTTATGTCTTAATAAGTAAACCCATGTATGTCGAGTGTATGCATCAACAAAGGAAGCATAAAATCTAAATCCATTCGAGGATATATGTGGAGGTCCCCATAAATCAATAAAGATAAGCTGAAATGGAGTTTCATAAGATGTATTCGATTGTTCAAAGGGTAATTTGTGGCTTTTACCCATATGGCAAGCAATACATTGTCTTATTTACATCTGAGGTAATTTTTACATCGAGTTCTTTAGTAATTTGCCTTAATGTGTTATTAGAAGGGTGACTAAGTCTTCGATTGCACAGCTCTCCAATCTCAGTAGATGCAACTTTAGCAGCAAAACTAACATCAACAACAATACAAACATTTTCTCTTGTTGTCTTACTTGTCACAAACGAGTAAAGCCCTCCAGATTCTTCACCAGTCAAAAGCACTTGCTTAGTAACCTCATCTCGTACACAACAGCTACTGTATGAAACTCAAAGAAGATATTGTTGTCCCTAGCAAGCTTCGAGACCGAAAGCAAGTT